ACACACACACACACACACACACACACACACACACACACACACACACACACACACGAAAAAACACACAAGGAAAAGTCGTTGGCAACATAAACTTACTACATTTTTTCCGCAGTCTGCTGGCAGAAATATTTCTAAATGGTTAAGAATTCTAAGCTCCATTCAGAAATGGAAGTGTATCTATTATGTAACCTAATAATAGTGACTACGAAATTAAATGATTCTAGGTAACAAGGTACTACTACTATTGCATATTTGTACCATACTCAAATCAACAATTTTATTTAATTATGATTCTCACTTAAATTCTAACTGCAATTAAAATTTTGAAAGTCAAACAAAATAAGTTGACAGCAATTGCAAATAACAATCTGTATAACTGCCCAGGGAACGTTTAAAGCAATAGCTTCAAGTTTTTTTGTTCAATTAGACAGTTTAGTAAGAGTCCCTTGGAAAATAAGAAAAAGAAAAAAAGTACTAGGGCTCATTTTAAGGGGATGTTTTGTTTTCCCGAAAAACAAACATCCTTCTTTTCCTCACATCCTTCTTTTCTTTGCACATCCTTCTTTTCTTTGCAGAAAGTTATAAGATTCCTGCCTTGGGAATCCTCCAAGATTCCTTTTTTATACATCACAAAATTGCTTTTCCTTTCACCACTCATTTTGTCTTTTACCACGCCGGTAAACGACACATCGAGGAGCATCAGAGAGATGGATCTGCAAGTTCGGCGCAGCCAGCTGCGCTCCTCGCTGCCGCGCTGGGAGGCGACAAGGCCGGAGAATGGCCAACGCGGAGTGGGGATGAACCCGAGACCTCGAATCAGTGCACCGCGGCTGTGCCGAGCGCCGAAGCCAGGCAATGCCCAGCAGAGGGTGGGGTGGGCTCGAGACCTTATCGAAGACTTGGCACGGCTGTAAGGAACACTGGCAGCAGTGCTCCCTGCGGCTGCGGCAAGGCGAACTAGGTCTTATTTTCAGGGGAAGGCTTATAACAAGTCCTTCCCTGAAAATGTCATTAGGGCCTATTTTTAGGGAATGATTTATTTTCGGGGAAACACGGTAATTAGAACCAAAAAGTACCGTAATTCTTCTTCTCCTTCTCTTCACCCTCACCATACTCAGACCTCAGTGAAGTTAGCGATGCATTGGTACGTGATCGAGATCGAAACTTAGCAGCCACACCATGTTGAGCACTTTTCCGGATACCATATCCATGTCGCATGCCACGTAACCATTGTCCTTGATAAGAACCTGAAATTCACTAGCATTACTTGATTCTACACTAGTGAAATATTTCTTTATGCGTCCTCTTCGAGGTCAGAGATTCCGATAGTTGAGGAGTTAAGTAGAAGACTTCGAACTGTTTCCATCTCATGCATCTGATTTAACCGGTATGCTGATATAAAGCGATAAAACTCTGTTAGTTTCTTCAAAAATGGATCTATTAAACTAACTTTTCTCGAGACATTCAATTTGTACTATCAAAAAGAAAAAACTCGAAAATGTAAGAATCCGAATTGAATAACGATAACAAAAGGACATATAGAAAATAAATGCGGTTTGAAATGGTCCCAATCGACTATATTGTTTGAATAATGCTTGGTGGCAAATTTCAGCTAGCTTCTTGTTACTTGAGACTTAAAATTCTAGTTCACGCCTCGACATTATAATTTACAAATCTTCAGGTTGTTTGAGAATTTTTATGCACCTTATATTTTTGCTTCGTTATCTCCCACTTGAAACCTGACTTTTTCCAATTATAACTTCTTTTCATCTCTTTCCAGTAGAAACTAAATAAAAAATAAATCTTGAACATCTGAGAAATTATTTTTCAGAGCTAATGAATAGCTGGGATCTTGTTCGAGATCATAATAACACCCTGACGTTAACTTTGAGAGATCAGTTATCGACAGTATTTATAACCATGATATAGCTATGTATTGTCGATAACTACAAGATAGGAATCTGAAAGCAGAAATGAACCATCACGAAATATTACTTGTCTAAATAACAAAAATACCAACCTCCGTCGACATAAGTTTCGGTACCATAACCATCATGAAAACCTGCGGACCAAGTACCCTGGTATTTAGCCTGTGAAGTCATTGACAACCGATGTCCATATCTGCCTTTGTATCCTTGAGTCCACTCACCTTTATATATCCAACGACCACGCTGCTCGACTCCAAGCCCATGGCGTTTCCCATTTTGCCACTGACCTTGGTAAGTATTCCCAGACGGCCATGTATAAACCCCAGATACCTGAATTTTACTTTTCATATTTATAGTTAAGTAATAGTGTCAATAATTACTTCAAGGAATAAAATTTAAAACACAGTCAATTTTCTAGCAAGTAAGGTAACAATAAACGCTACACAAACTGCACTTTTTCTTGGGAATAAGCAGTGTGAGTTGCCGAACCTCTGCACTTCTGCTCCCTTTGAAGTCAAAATATACCATCTTCCAAGACTTTTTAGGATCCCATTACTTCTAACGATTTTCAAGATTGTCGTCAACTTGGTTTTCTATTTTTCAATTTTTAAATGGGTTATAAAAGGCCTGATAGCGTTCCTCCAAGCATTGCAGTTAAAATCGAGCTAACTAGAATGATCTTCGAATGCCCACAATACATTTCATATCAAACTGTTCATGGAGTTAAATTTTTTTGAGAATTCCAACCATCACTAAGTTATCCTTCGCTCGCGAATTTTGTCAACGCAAGCATGCTTTCAATTGGTGAACAGTCTTCTTCTATATTTTGCAATTTATTATATTTATTAATTCATAATACTAAATAAATGATTTAAATTCGGCGTTTATTCAATTAATTTTTCAAAAAAAAGCACCTCAAAACCATAATGCCAAGCTCCAGCATATTCACCCTTGCCTTGAGGACCAGTGCAAACGCCATGCCCATGAGCTTTGCCTTCTTCCCAACCCCCGCAGTAAGTACCACCATCATCAAAGTCAAATCTGCCACCGTTCATGTCAACGCTACTAGCGCACCGTACCTCATACTCGACTCTGCAGAAAAACACGAGAATAAATCTTGAAGGAAGTGGGATGTATTCAATCGCGCTGTGGTCAGCTACCTAAATGTCATGTGGTTGGTTAGCAGTAAATTATGATACCATACATAAACAAATGAATCACTGCCTGAGTATCAGTCTGAATCCACCTGCCCAGTAACATTTAAACAATTAGACCAATACTGGTACTACCGAAATTAATAATCATTTGACGCGGTGCGAGGCACGAAGCAGATAAGCTGGCATTTTTGCTTACTAAAATCGTTTTTAAGGGATATTATGGTAAGGATTAGTAATTTCATGAAATCAATTTCATGATCGAAATGGAGGGAAAATTAAGCAAAAAAAACAAAAGAAAAGAAAAATAAAGCAGAAGTTTGACGTTTCTGCCAACAAATACAACCAATGAACAACAAACACAACTCAACTATTATTCGCTAAAAGAATTTTCTTTCTCGAAAACTTTAAAACAAAGACTTATAGCATAAAATAAAGCTTTTTCAATGCATTTCATTGAAGAAGGTAAGAATTTTCCACTGAAAAATGGACTTTAGGCATTTTTGAAAACAAAGAATCGGAGAAAAGAATTCGCCAAGCATCTTTAGTCCAATCATCCATAAAGAGATATTCTGCTCGCTCAATATAAACAGCAAATAAAACTGCACGTTAAAAACATTAATTTACTGATTAACTCAATCATTTGAAATGAATTGGAACTCCCTTCGTTCAGAAGGAATTGTGAATCAAAGAGAAAATGTTCTATCATTATTTTAAAAGCATACCATCGATAGCACTGTGATTTCCAGATGATTATTTCAGCATTATATGATTACTGAGTGATTATATTTGCTAACTAATCTTCCCCAACGAACTTAATCATGCGCTATTCTCTTGACGTATTTCTCTACCCCATTTTGAAGCATAATTGAAAAGAACAGTGCTAGGCAAGACATTCGTTAAACCTCAAGAAAATGATGGATTTGGAAAACTGGATTGGGAATTTCCTCGCTACCTTCCGTCATCTTGAATGGGTTCCACACAGCAATTTCAATAGTTAAAATGATATCATATCGTAAAAGGTTTCCCCCTTCGAGATCATTTCCTTAATAACAAACTATATCACTTGCGAAGTACTCAAACCAAACATTTCATCTTTCAGCAAATTTTTTGAGAAGTGATCACTTCTTCCTGAGTTTGTTGCATTTCTGTTAAATTGTCGTGAGCTACATGAGAAATAAAAAATAAGACATGAAAAGAATAAGGAAAAAAATTAAATTTAAAATCTCAACTCTCCACTAGATATTTGCATCGGGAAAGTGCAGAAGGCAAACAGCATACCGTTTCTTACTTATCGCGAATTCTGACCACAGTTATATTTCTTGACCTTACAGCATATTATTCAAATTCTGGTAGCTTGCAGTTGGTATACCAAATAATTCCAACGTAGTTTAATGTGAAGCTTCGAAGTACGGGATACTTTCACACAATTTAATGAGAATATTCCCAACTGTTTTACTTTCGATGACGGGACATATTATGGACCATATTACAGAATTAGTTTTAAATACCCGAAGCATTAATCATTAATTCTACGAACAGTATTACAGGCGGTGCTCCGCCTATGTAAGGGTTGAAATAACAAAGCAGTTAACAGTTACTTGGTATTGCAAAGGTCGTTCGATCAAAGTCACATTTGTTTAAGATTGAGCCAGAAATAACATACATTCAGCCACAGTAGCTTGAAATTCAGTCCAATAACACGGGGAATTTGAATTCTATCTTTGCTTGCGCTATGAATACCTGGACATTCAACATAACGTGTACACCAATGATATGGCTACTGAATATTGAGCAAAACCATATTGAAAAATTTTAAACATAGCAGCAAAGATGATGATGACTGCAGTGAAATTATATAACTGATATTTCCAACTAATCGAACCATCCAAATATAGCTAGACACGTAACTATTGAAACACGGTAAGGGACACACAGATTTTGCGAGAGATAGTGATAAAGAAAAGGATAAAGTAAATATTTGAGTGATAAAGAAAAAGATAAAGTAAATATTTGCTAATTTAATGCGAAATAATGACGATACTTTCTCAGCTCATCTTTGGTTATCTATGGTTATGAATACATATTTAGATCATTCTTCACTGGTCTGTAGAATACCCTTCTGCAATGCAATTTGACAATTATGAAATACTAACTGATCATTCGAGTCTCTTACTGCTGATTTGAGGAATCTCTTCTACCTTCATGGAAATTTCAACTCAAATATCATCAGATTTCACAAACTGCTTTTGTTTGCTTTAGTACAAATCGAATTTTATATGATGCAAGGTGACTACAGAAATGCAACCTTCCATATGCGCTCAATAGCCAATGCATTTCGATAACGATAAAGTGAAACAATCTATTTATAGTTAAAACTGGAAGATGAGTTACTGGAAATGAAATATAACCTTAAAAGAACAATAAAAAGCAAAAACTACAAGTGGAAGAGTAGCTCCAGGAAACCAAATCTGCAAATGAATATCAACAAGCTGCTAAATGGATGTATATATATATATATATATATATAACTTCAGGGAAACATGTGTAGTCAAATTTTATATAAATGTAAGCATAATTTTTTACCTAAAGCTTCATCTTACTTTTTACATCTGCTAGCTTTCAGGCAATACATATTTCGAGCACGAGAAAGATTATTCATAACAATTGGTAAAAGACTGATAAAAAAGAACTGTTTCAAACTGTACAGCTGTCATGAACATATCTGAAAGTAAATGGAGAAAACCGAACTATGGTAAAATTATAAATATATGAAGTAGCAAATAAAGTCCTCAATTACAAGGAAACATATATACGATTGCTTGAATATATATCTAAATGTAAAATAAAGGGAAACAATGAAATGAAGGAAGAAATTCAAGAAAAAGTAGAGACAAAAGTTGAACAAATCAGTTGAACAAAGGACTTTTTAATCAGCTATAATGATTGAAATGAAATTTGGAACAAGCAATTACTCAAAAAAGTTAGCATCATTTTCGATGACCACTTTGTACCATTGGAGGAAAGTGGGCTTGTAAGAGGAAATAAACGCTAACCTTTGGGGATTTTCAAGAAAGAATTGAAGAGCTAAGTGTAAACAAGGATGCTAACTACTTTCCTTACCCTTTGTTTTCATAAATTTCAAATTAACCAATTAAATTCACAAAGTTAACAATCAACTGCCTACTTTATTTTAAGACATAAATGTCCTTGCATATACCTCCACTGTTTTTAACTATGAAAATTGAAAATATAAACTAGGAAAGTTCGACAAAAAAACAACTTGAAAATACAAATATTGGTACAATAAGTGGGAAGATGGAATGTAAGCGGAGGAGGAAGATGGGGGTGTGAGAGGGAGGGAGTGGGAGGGATGAATACTTTGCACTGACTTATTGAATTTAACTGCAACGAAACACACACACACACACATACATACACATTCACACACACACACACACACACACAGATACATACAGATATCTCGATGAGATATAAATTCACAAGTTGTTCAATGGTTCACTATCTTAGTTCCTCGTCTACATCGAGATGAACATAATCGACGATGATTTCAAGGGTAGTGAGGTTGGTACACTGCCATTTATTCACCCCCTCTCAAACACATCTCAATCCCATTTGACGAGGATTGATTAATCCAGAAGAAAGCTGCCGCCGGATGGTTACTGCTAATGAAGTTTCATCTACTTACTGCGTCCCAACTCCGTTTTCCTCCTGCTCTTCCAACAGTCTGCTTATGAGTCGTATATATATATATATATATATATATATATCTGCGTATCCGTACATACGCACTCTTGGCCTCACCTTTACAGTTATAAATATTGAGTGATCCGGACAAAGATTTAGAAGGGATAGGCATGATTGAAATTTTCTGTCTTCCATGATCATAAGCAAAGTTGAGAGAAAAGAGGCAAGACATCAAGCCAAGACAAGAAGGGCAAGAGTGGACAAACATCTTCCTTCATAATAAAGCTCGATTTCAGTAAGATTATTTTCACAAATGAATCCAATACAGTCAGTGCTAATTGAAGTGACATTCATCGATTCATTACACAGTCGCCAAGCTAGTTGATCAACCATAAGTTAGATTCTGGCCTAAAGGAAGAAGTGCACAATATAGCCTAAGGAAATGTAAGAGAAGGGCCTAATTATCGACCATTAAATATCACTTTGCAGTTAACAAAACTTTCCCCCATCACACTCATTCATTCATAGCCTAAACTCGACGAAATAATGAAATGTCTGGTTGAAGTGAAGTACACTTAAGCAAAAATACTTATAAAACTTTGATGCAAGCACACACACACACACACACACACATATATATATATATACACATGTATGCACATACACACATACATACATACATAAACTGATGATGTATAATATATGCTTATTACATATGTTCAGATGTCGTATGAGCAGCTGCTGGAAGAGGAGGAGGAAGAGGAGGAGGGGGATGGTCGCTAGCAGAAAGAGAAGGGACGAAATCAATGAAGGGATAAGAGGATTCAGAGTATCTACATATCTTCGGTCTAACTGGATTGTGGCACTAAGCTTGTACACCTCTTGCAGCATCGCTTAGTCTAGTGCCTCTTTATCCAAGAAGCGTAAAAAGTTCCTCGAACTCTGGCCCTCTCTTTTGGCTATACTTCTCCCTGCCTAGTACACCTCTTAAGCCAATATTACACTGTAACACCTTTCCTGGTTTGGGACAACAAAAGCGAAACACTTGACGATTGAGCCACGATGTGACTACTTGTTCCAGAAATAATCACGGACGACATCTTCTGTTGGCTAATAAATAGCAGTAATAGAAGAATATTAGCCCGTGTTTTTGATTTTCAAAACATTGCGGTAAGAGTGACAGGTGAAGCTCGTTATTAGAGAATTATCTCTAGAAAATTATGAGTCAGCAAATTAAAAACTTTGAATCGAGGAAAAATGCTATGCCTCAAACCGACTATCATGCCAAATTCATTCCAAAAGCAATCCTTGGAGAAGAACGAGGGACAGGGCTATTCGTAATGAAAAAGTCACCACATTAAGGCAGTCTAGCACTTTTAGGCAACACTCAATATGGGCTGTGCGGTCTCAGCGAGTTTTGTAAAAAAAAAAAACCGAGAACCACGAAATATAACATTGTAGTCATGACAGTGAAAAAAAAGTTTTCCAAATCGACAATTTGCAATTGATCTCATGAAAAGTAATCATATCAGTCTCTTTTATGAATTTTAAGCAATTTCAGATACGGAAAATCGTTCACTTATAGATCTTGCTCATTGACCTCTCTCTGAAGTCCCTTATTCACGCATTGTTTTAGTGTCCTCATTTAGCTCTCACTTAATTTAAGCGAAGTTTTGCGATGTATCACTTGCCGAATAGAATATGATTAATTAATGGTTGGATCTGCTCTGCTCAAGTTCAGCTTCCAGATATTTCCCTCTGCCAAGCTAACCTAGCAAAACTATTAACGCAGCCATAATTTCGGCTCATTAAAAATCATTTACTTCATCAAATTTTGTCATATCATCTGTCATCATTTTTATGAGATAGGTTGAAAGACATATCTTTCTACTGTTAACAATAAAACACCATTAAACTTCTTACCGTTTCTTACTGAATTGTTAAGTGGTAAAATGATATTATAAATAGAGACCTGAAGGTTTAACCTGAATTTAAAATGAAGATGTGTACGATCTACAACATAAATGGGTGTAACATAACACTATGACACAAGGAAGGAATGAAAATGAAACAAAAATGATCATCGGCTTTATCATCGTTGATGAATTCTAATTTTTGGATGTGAAAACATGGAACCATTTGTTTTCAACTTAATCAAAATAGCAACATTCGGTGTTATTCGTTATTCAAAAAACCATTTTGCGCACACCATCAGCGCTAAATAATTAAATTTGCTTCACTAAAAGTATTTGTGTGAGAAATTGTCTCTACGTAACGAAAGATATTCAATAGCGATAGTTAATTTTCAGCATTGCTATCAAAATAAGAACAACTATCAGCAATAACCGCAACAAACATTATTTCTTACCTATGCAATTTCATTCTCCAATCTTTTTCTTTTTTGGAGTGACAAAGGTGACACGTAGTTCGAGATACTGCGTGATAATTGCCATGTAAAGATCAATACTGACAAAAAAGCAAAACTTCATTTAAATAATGATCTGTATACATCTAAATAAACATGGATGAAATGCTAAAAAGCTTTTTTACAATGTGAAAGTTCTCGTAATCACCGATAGATACAAATGATGATCAATAAAAGACTTGATAGTTGAATACTACGACAATTCTGATCATTTACAGGTGCTAAAAAAATTCAATTTATATTCTGTACGCCTGATGATAAAGTGATAAGCCTTATGATAGAATGTAGGTTAGCCTCACTAAAGCGAAGAAACAGTTGTGTCATTGTTGTGGGGAAGACGTAACAATAGAAACAAGTAATGAGAACGTAAACGTCCTCTTGCTCTAACGTAAGCTAGTATGAATGTTTTTTGCTGGATAAATGCACAATAAGTAGGATGGAGCAAAAATGGGCAGATCCCGACATTCCAGCTCTCTGTGGAGTAGAATACCATTGGAGACAGCTGGAAAGTGGACAGATGTAAAATGACCTCTCGAAAAAACGAAACAACATGACGCGAGTCGTACTAATATCGTAACTGCTGATTTTTATTATATGTGACGTAAAGGTACTGAGTGAGGTAAAGGATGATAAAGCAGTAAGGTAAAGGTGGGCATTAGTTTCGGTCTATTTCAGAGTACTAATATTCTTCCTTTACTTGAACTAAGGACATTCTGTTTGGCCTGCAAATAATGCATATGACGATCATAGATCCTTCAATAAAAAGCCAACCTCCATTTTCACATCATGTCTGGGAATCACGCTTATTGTGTGTCTAACTATTGCACAAGAATAATCGCGACAAATTAACGTATCGTGTTAGAAATGGGTAAGAACGGAAAGTTGCTATCAATGCATAGTAAGGGCAAATATTGATGATGTTAATGATGATCGATGATTGATGACTGATGATCGATGGTTGATGAGTGATGATTGATGAATGATAATTGATGATTAATGATTGATGATTGATGATCGTTGATTGATGACTGATGATTAATTAATGAGTGATTAATGATTGATGATTGATTAATGATGATTGACGATTCATGATTGATGATTGATGACTGATTAAGGATGATTAATGATTGATGATTGTTGATTGATTAATGATTGGTGATTGATAATTGATGATCGTTGATGATCGATGATTGATGATTGATGATCGATAGTCAATGATTGATGATTGATGATCGATGATTGATGATCAATGATCGATGACTAATGATTGATGATTGATTAATGATTGATGATTGGTGATTGGTGATTGATTAATGATTGATGATTGATGGTTGATTAATAATGAATGATGATTGTTGATGATTGATTAATGATTGATTAACGATTAATCAATTGATGATTAATCATGATGATTGATGATTGATTAATGATTGATTGATGACTGATTAGTGATGATTGATGATCGATGGTTGATGATGATTGATTAATGATGATTGATGATTGATGATTGGTGATTGATTAATGATGATTGATGATTGATGATCGATGATTGATGATTGATTAATGATGACTGATGATTGATGATTAATGATTGATGATTGATGATTGGCAATTGATTGATGATGATGATGATGATGGTGGAGATACAGGAGAGATGAGTTCAGGCATTCTTGATATCCAATGCTGTCGGATAGGCAAACAGAGAGATTTGAGAGGTGAAGCTTTCACGAATTGACTTTACTTTTTGAAGGATCAGATGCAGAACAGGACGGGATGATCTATTCGAACTTCTCCTGTTGGATGATCTTCCTCAGCTTCTCCAGTTGAATGATCTACGATTGATTGTTTGATTGATAACCCTTCTCTTATTTACTACCGTCGCCAGCTAGCAAATGACTGTAGTGACGATACTGATAATATTAATGATAATGATAATAACGGCAACTCTCACCAACATTCAATTTAATCTATTGTTCATTTACCTTTTCCACATTTTACTATTTTCCTGAAGGCTTCTACAACTACTGTTTGATACTGTCCATTACGAAGGACTTCAACTGAGTCATGCACGTCCACTATTGAGCATTCACAGTGAAGATAGTGATATTAATCAATAAAAGGAAAAAAACTAAATAGTATTCATTTAGCCTAAATCCAAATCCTTTATACTCTTTCAGCTACATGTATTCGTGCCAAAGTTCCCGCCATTTCAGTATGATTTCTGTATTAATATATACTGATGATACTCTCCGGAATGACTAATGGAGTCACTTTCCGGGATTATGACTAAATAGCCATGATTCCGAAGAAAAACTCCATCGCTATCCCTTAATTCTTCGGCACATTGAAATCCACATCCTCTCGTATCCGATTTTATTTACAGATAAAATTCGCGATATGTACGCGACACCATAATTGATACTTCACATTAGTTGTTCTCCTGCGAACTAATATATGATCCCGAAATGTGTCGAATTTATGATCACGCGGGAAACATTTTATTTCGTTTTAATGACATGAAATTCAAACAGTATTGGAAGTTGAACTTTCAACTATACGATTGAATGCATAGAATCATATTATTATCATAGACAATTCAGAAATACACAATACGTCAGGAAAGCTTTAAAGCTTTCACAAAAGGAATTATCAACGTTATGAAGCACAAAAGAAAATGATGAAACTACTACTAAAATATTGTTGCAAATAAGCAGAATCAACAAGATATAAACAAAAATGCTTATCTGTTGAAAGATGTGGTGATACGAAATCTCTCCTCGAAATCTGAAAATTCAAAGTTAGATTTTTCAGTGGATAGCTAAAAACGTTTAGGAAGTAATCACAGAAATACTTTCGAGACATGTTACTTTTCGCTCAGAAAACCAAAGCAAATAAAATGATACTAAAAACAATGTGTATATTATGTTTACTCCGGTTTTAATCAGACGGATAAAAGGACACATTAGTTGTGCTTTCGGTTCGTTCATCAAGTATCAAGGTAATAGCTGCTAAAAAAGCGGGAGTTGAATTTCTCCCTTGCAAATATTCACGAATTTGTGCTGTCCATTGCGTCGCATAATCTGTTTCCAACAAACTAATTGTTTTTCCATAATCATGCACCTAAAATAAATGAGATATAATTAAGGTGACAGCTGATAAAAACGTATGACAGACAATTTTGGTTTTACCATTTAGATTTACCTGAGTAAGTGAAACTTTAAAGTTCTCAATGCAAATATTAGGCAGTCCGGTTTTTTTATGCCTTGAAAAAACAGATCTAAAAAAGACAAAATAAAAAATTTTGCACCTGGATACAAAGCATTACGAAACATAACCTTGAAAATGAAATAATTTCCGGGATCGAAAATGCTTTCAACCTGCACCAAATCATCCTCTTTCATTTTTATTTGTAGTCCAGAAAGAGCAGTCACGAAAGCACGATACTTTTTAACCAAATTACTCTGTATTTTTAGAGCTCTTTCCTTTTCTTTTTCCACTTTATGTAACTGGAATTGCAAGTCTGAAATTGAACTTGCTTTCAATGTTCGTATTCACGCTTACAACGGCAATATAATCGGATGTGAGATAGTCTCTTTGTGAAACCCAATATGCTCTCCCCTTCCATTATTTATAGTATATAAATAATAAAATCTTTTGTAAGACAGTTTAAAATTACTCCATGAGAAATGGACAACATCAGCTCTTTAAACTTTCCTAAAAATTTAATTTGCCGGGATAACATTGACTGTAAAAGAAAATATAGTGCGCAACTATGTAGGGAGTCCAGCGATCTATTCATTTGTGTGAATGTAAAATAGCATATTAAGCAGTATAATCGTTCATTTACCTGCTACTTGTTTCATCATCTCGGTACGTTGTTTTTTCCGTAATATAGCAATCAAATTATCGTTGTTTTCATTCAGAAATGACAAAGATTCGTTCTAAAAAAAAACCGCAAACAAAAAGCAAGATAGCGTTAAACTCATGTTGTAAAAATATTCATAAGAGAAGTAATAAATTTTGCATTTGATGCTACCAATTTGTGTTTCTTATTAGCTTGAAATTCTTTATATTCCTGATGAGCTACATGCAAAGGATTCATCCTCATATGCAAGATTTTGATAGATGGATCCGGCAATCCGTCCTGAAATGGATACTTTTTTTCAAATAAGGTAAATTTAAATCTTTATCTAATTTTGTTTGCAATCAGTTTGTTTCAATGTTAGAAGAACATATGAAATAAAATTTCCATCCAAAAACAAATGAATAAACAGCTCAAAAAAGCAGCAAAACAGAGTATGCAATGAAAGAAAAGGTAGTATAACATCCTTGCCATTTAATTTCTCTTTCAAATTTCTCAAATTCGCTGACCTGTACTAATAACACCAATAACTTCTAGTACAACACTATCATCTCCTTAAACATTTAACGAACCATTAAAAAGACATCAAGTCGGAAAAAAAAACATACGTATTGAGCAAGTTTTTTCTTTAGTTCGCCAATTTCATTCTCATATCTTTTTAAAATTTCCGCACCATTTTGAATTATGCCTTCATCCTTGCAATCCTTGCCATTTAATTTCTCTTTCAAATTTCTCAAATTCGCTGACCTGTACTAACAATTATGGAATTCAGATGCTTCGGTTTTAAAGAAGAATTTCTCAGATAATAACAATAAAACTCAGTAACGATAGAACACAGTTCACCTACAAAATTTGATTGATTTGCAGTTGCTCTTGCAACTTCTGCGATTTCCAATTCAGTTCCATTTGTAACTCATCTAATCTGAAAAGAAAATTGTCACACATAAATTTGTGTGTTTTCGTTCCTCCAAAATAACCGAATATTAAAGAGCAAATATTGAAGATAGTACTTTTCTTCCATCTGAATGCATTAAAAAAGAAACAACTAACTTCGCCTGATATTTTAATGTCAAATCAATAATTCTACGTTTCTCTTTCATCGTGCCACTGTCTTCAGCCATTTTTGATGCAGCCATTTCTTTAATTCGTTCATTCTCCTTCTAAACCAAAGAAAGAAGATATTTCTGCTTAATGTTTTTATCGTTTAATCGTTTAATATTCCTTTTTCTACTCAGTTTTTATCGTTTAATATTCCTTTTTCTACTCAGACTGAGAATCATTGCTACGAACCTACCCTAATTTATTTAACTGAGCTAAATAATTACAACCTAATTTTCGATGATTTCTGCAGAGTTTTCCACTACAGAAAAATTGATCTTCAGTAACATTTGTTGTCAAAAATCCCTTTCAAATTGTACTTGAAAAATGTCACAGTAACCACTGCAAAATTCAATAGAACTACTTTTTGGAAAAAAAAGATCTGGTTGGTAGGATCTGCTTGCGAGGATGAAGAACTGTTATGTTGGTGATGTCAATATAGTCTACCGATTATCCCTAACAATAATCGAATAAAAACAGTCCCCTTAAGATATAGCTTTAAATAATATAAATGAGCAACTTACAACCAGACATTCATTCATTTCAGTCAGAATTACCAGTCGATTTTCCAAACTCGTTTTTTGCGCTTCTCGCAACTCGAAGTTCTCCAGTTTATTTCTGTTGGTGGTAGAAACCGACTTTTTTTTTTTTAATTTAAATTATCTGTTCCTGATTAATAATGAACTGCCGACTACCAATTCTTTGAGATCTTACAAAAAAATTCCATCAACTTCGCTTCGCTTACAAACAGCATTGGAAAAATTTTTGAAAATGATAATGAAGGAACCGTACGCAATTAAAGATAGCAATCACACCTAGTCAATTTTAGCTGCGTAGTCAGGAAAAATTTTTCATTCTCCAACTTCGCTATTTCTTCTGCCAAACTTTCACATCTCTCAGTATCGATAATTTCATTATCAGCCACAGGTTTCGCAGTTACGTTCGATTCAGCAACCACTACAAATCCAATAAACATAGGTATTTTAATTGGATTTCTGAATATTTATCAAATAAAAAAAAATCCAACGGAAAAGATATAACCCCAAAAGAACTTTGCCCAAGGAAATAAAACCCAAATATAAAAAATCGAAAAATCTGAAACGTCCACTAACTACCAAATACACAAGTAATTTCTATATATCTCATCGTTACCTGCATTAACTGACTTTTGTACGGATCGCACCATCCAATCGTCTGTTTGTGCCTCTGTAGTTACCGTCTCCGGTTTCGGCTCATCAAGAAATGAAAACGGAGGTTCATATGTCTTCAGAGGACCTAAAACATAGGGGAAAATGACAGCTAGACGGATGCTTATAAAAAATTCCTCTGGAGATATTCGACCGATTACACCTGAATAAATTTAAAATACTGTAAAGTTCTATGGAACACATACAAAATATCAGGCTTTCTTTAGTACGAATTACAAAGTTTTGCATGCTGAGTCAAAGAAAAACACACCTGCAGTACCTTGTAAAAGCGACATTACAGTTTCAAATTTGCTTAGTTTATCCTGTAAAAGACAAATTTCAATATTAGAACATTGAGAAGTTCTAAACATATGGATAAAGGTCAATGTTCGCCTTTCATTTAACTGTTCAAACAGTTCAAAAACATTTAACTGTTCAAACAATACAAGAATTCAAATGTGGTTCCCGCTCAAACACAGCGAAATATAAAAAAAACTCCTTGAAGATTTAATTACATAACCTCACGTTCCTTCTTCGACAACTGATGCTGAAGATCATCAACCTGCTGTTCGAACATCTTCTGTAAGTCCTCCATCTCACATTGCTTAGCACACAATTCTTTGCCCATTTCTGTGACAGTTTTTTTCAGGGCCTCATTTTGCAATCGATATTTTTTAACTTCCTCTTCCGCAACACGAACTCGTATCGAAAGATGTCGAACTCAAGCAAGGATAATAATATCAGGGAACAAGATAAAATATAAGCACTATGTAAATAAAACCTATATTAAAAGTCAACTTCGACCCAATTACATCACACTACTTTATTGAAAAGCACAATTAAAAGAATCTTATGAACAATATTTCGAGGAGTAACTTTCAACTTTCAATTTTCAACCCGAGTATTGGAAATTCAGAAAATTCTATCATCCAGATATCTCATGTTTATGCAATACCTGATTCAGAGTTTCCTCGTCTATAACGTCGACCAAGTAAATCTTCAGGGTCAGTAGTAATATGTCCAGTTGGACTACATTCACATGCTGCAAGTAAATATTAATTTCACCTCGACAACTTATAGGTATTCGACTTCTAAATCTATAATAGTTCAAGATGGGCAGAATGAGTAAGAATTCCGGAACTAATGGAGGTGAAGCATGAAATATATGACCTGTAGCAACTTCAACAATGATATGAAATAATCAGTATCTATAGTACCTTCATCGAACATTGCCTGGTACTGAGGTCTTCCTTCTTGAAGGAAATAATTGCCAAGCACTGGCAATACAATCCAGTACGCTACTCTTGAGATACTGAAACAACCATAAATAAGATTTGAACATGTAAAGTAGACAGGTATGTGACTGTATGCTAACAAGTCCAAGTAGAACTAAGCTTTACAAGAACACAGTGCTTACGCAGCCAATTATGCAACTACCTGCACCAAAGCAACAACCAGTCCGAATGAATTCATCAGTACACTGGATGAAAATCGCCCTCCCACTCTTCCAGTTGTGGAGTCATACTTATTTTCCTCATTTAAGTGCCTGTCACCTCATATAGTGACGGGTACTGACCGAGCAATAACCCGAACCAATGATTGGATAAACGATAGTTTGATTTTGAAAAATAATGGCAATTAGGACTAACTGTCCATGGTAGAATAGTTTTTCTTTATTTCTCATTCTATCTCAGTATTTACAAAGCACAATTTATTCACTTTGCCTCTGATCAAGATGGATGTGAACTCGCGCAGTGTAAGCCATCACTTTTCATGACTTTGTTTAGACCGTTAACGGTAGTAGCAGCGTTTTTTGTGTGAAAACTTGTTTACTTTCATAATTTACATACAGTCACAATGAATAAATAAATAAATAATCAACGTCAACCAGTTCAACACATCATTCCCCGCAATCATTCAGTAATAGTTTGCAAAATTTCATGAAAAAAGCAATACAATGCTAACATGCAATAGAAAAATGTCTTCCAATAAATGCGAAAATACACTTTTAATTATATTGAAAAATGCAAATGAAGTTTCCATTTTCACATGTATACATAACTGAAGCGTGAAATGAGAGAAAAAAATGACTAGTTGTTGAAAAGAATTGCAGTATACAAAGGAAAAGATATTACTATCGATGGTATTTGGAAGTTTGTCTTGCGAAATATGAATGTAAAAAATAGCTTTGATTGGTTGCCTATTTACTTATCCAAGTCATAAATAGGATTTTAAAATTATCATTTGTTAACGTTTTTAGCGATCAGGAGAATACTGACAAATACATTCCATGAAACGTTGCATCGAACCTGTTATAGCATATACACCGGAAATTCCGGAAATCTTTTGTAAAGCAAAATACGTTTATTACACGTAGTTAAAATGGGTTTGAGTTAGCTTCAGTAAGCTTTTGCGACGGTATTGCTAATGGATTTATGCAATCCAGCCCAGGCTTTGTCTGGCGAGGATAACTTCGCCGAGCGGGAATATTTCGAGATAAATATAAACCGTAAGGACCATAAGACTGCACCACAGTTTTCATCACTTCTCTGATATCTTCAGGTTGCCCAGCTATCGATGTTTTTTGTGAATCTTGTTCGCCTGTTCGATCATTTACTGATTCATTTACCTTAAATAAAAAGGATTCAGATATGAGTACCACAAGTGTTTTTATGTTTTTTTTTTTTGACGTCCCTGTGATGCACTCATTTGCTATTTGGTATTTCGTGCATGATCTAAACATTATTCTTTTCTTTTCAGGAAACCTAACTAATCCTTGCCAGTAATTGAAAGTTTCTGACTGATTAAACAATTTTTTTCCTATCAAAATATAAAAACAAAACTGCCGTAAGAAATTGCCTTATCATTTTCCAAAGTTTACTGGAATTATTAAATCTAAAAATTATGAAGATAATGCAAAAAGACGGGTCAGATTTTGTTTGACTTCGTATACAATAGTTGTATGAAACAAGAAACAAGCCTTATCATTGGTGGAAGACAGAACGCAAGAACCATTAACAAACCAAGAAAGCATTACCGGTAGAAATACAAGGCCATGAAGAAGACCGAGCATAATTGATAGCAACACTGTCTGGAAGTGTTCGAAGATTAAGGTCACACAGTTTTCCCTGACTAATTATTGAAACAGTAAGTTCTCTACGGTTCATTAATTTTATGTCATGAAATTTGCATGAATCGCGATATGATTTTCAGTGAATTCTAATGAATAACAGCAAAATTAGTATGGTACTTTGAAAAAAGTAACGATCATATAAGCTGGTATATCAGCCAGTACAACAACAGCCAGAATTGTTGACATCGCTCCCTGCGTGACAGGCCATCCAAGAGCTCCGAGTGCTGTTTTGACTCGTTGCTTGGGAGTAGATTCGGCAGAGATAACATATCCATAGGTGATATGCGCTGAATAATCAACCGAAAAGCCAATCGACATTATTATTGTAATCATTGATATTGCATCCTGATAACAACTCGACTTTTAGAAAACTTTCATCTTCATAAGCTTTTTTTCTTAGCCACTGCCTCTCCTTCCATTGCTTCCATTTCTTCTTATTTTCTCACAAATCTAAAAACCTCAATCACTTCTACAACTTATTTCGAATCTGTTATTTAAAATGAATCTTACCAAATTGACATCCCATAATGTCATAAAACCAATGACGCCAAGATCAATGGATGCGATAGAGAATGCTACCCAGACGGAGCAAAACGGCTGTGGTATTAGTAGCATCGCAATTACAATCATCACCGCTAGTGCTATCACTATAATTGCAAGTAAATTATCCAAAAACCAGATGATACCAAACATACTGAAGTCCAAAAATTCAAATATCAAGATCAGGGAACTAACGAATATTTTGTATGGTATTGGGAATCACAATGGCATATTGATCAGTGAATAACCATAACGGTGAAAATGTAGTGACATTGTAGGATGAATAACGTTCAGCTACTTCTCGGAACGTTTTTGTTGCCTCTTCTTGATAATATGTTTTCGAAATGTGTTTCATGCCTACCAAGAACCTATAATATTGTGTTTTAATGAAGGAAATAATCTTGTTATAAAATTGCAGAAAGCTGAAAATTCGAAGTTGAGTTTTTTGCTACAATGGTTGAAAATTGCGATATGTGAGGTAGATTATTTATCATAAATACGCAAAGAATAAAATACAACGTCATAAGATTCGACAAAATCTTCATATACCTAAAACTTTGAATACTGTATAAACCCTGTTTATTGGTTTCCCAAATGACATCTTCACTCCAGATATCCTGAGATTTCGCCGAGAAGAAATGTTCCGCCATTCCGTATATTTCCGAATCAACGACGTCCATTTCTAATTCCTTCTTATAATAAATTTCCATTTCCTTCAGCCAGAACTGTATGCTATCGTCACCTCAATTTGAAAATGTTGAGTGAAAGCTGATGACAAACTCGCAAGTATTTAATTGACAAAGCAATATTTCAAAATTGATTAAAGCCTCGAAAATTAAGATTGAAATTAAGAAATTCAAGGACAATTTTAGTGTGCTGACCAAACTCGAGACCCGTGTTTACAAAAAACGAGACCCGTTTTGGTGTTGACTTACCAATAGAATATTTCGTATTGGCAAATGCATGCACCATGGATTCCACTCGTCGCCTTTCACTTTTGTCTCTCAGATCAGGCGCATTATTCACGACAATCTGAAAATTAAACTCATTATCGATATGTTTTATGTCAAGGAGATAGACGGGCATACATTCAATTCTTGAGAAATCTTATAATATCAGTTAGAAGTGAGTGCATTGAAATGTTGGCCAAGGCTAAGCTGACTCATGGAAGGTAGTGAAATTAGACCTCAGTCGTCATAAAAAGGTAGGTGTCAGCATCTTCATTTGGATTGTAAGTAGAAAAAATTACCTGAAGAGGAGCACCATAATTCCAAAAATATTTTTCTAGATGACGATAATGCGGTATGGCATACGAATCTTGCACTAGCAAATTAATTGGTTCAAGGCCTTCACGTAGGTGAAGGCAGCCGTATACAGAGAGACCAATGTAGATGAAAAACCAAATGACGACAAGTGTCTTCACTATTGGATTCATCAATATTGGAGCAAACCTGAAACAGGTAGAAATAGAAAGAGAACAGAAACAGAATTAAAATTTATTGGAGATTGAAATTAAATTTAATTAAAAACCTGGGATGCACATTACTCTTTGCTAACCATTCTTTGAAGAACTTTTTTGCGCTTGAATCTTTCAGATTTCGCTCCAAATTTTTGGGATCTGGATCCGCTCTAGAACCCATCCAAAATAATCGACATTTAAGTGATGTTGATTTGATAAACGCATCTGGTACAGTTGGTTGAAGCCAAACACAATGCAATCCTGCTGCTTCCCATTCTATAGCCAACGACAGCAGTGCACAAAAGAAGGATATCTGTTTGTATTTTTTTCTGATGAACAATTAATCTGTTTGATCAACAGATATTTCGAAAAAATATTTTTAAAAAGACATCACAATCTTCATCGTTTTGAACCTTTTTTACAATCTTTTGTTCATTTCAAGGCAAAAGAATAATGACTTACCTGATAAATAAACGTAAATGTTATAGCAACACCGGTGTAAATACAAAAAATTTGCACTGCTGGAATGCTGCAAAATATTTTATTAATCAAAATTTAATCAATTTAGGCTAAAATTATTCTCGAGTGAATCATTCTGAGCATATCACGTGACAATTACGTGAGAACTATTTATTAAAGCTATAATGATAGGATTATCTAGCAAAATTAAGCCAGGGAAATACTACAATATTCGCAGTGGAGTTTATGACACATTCGTATGCCATATTTAATGACAAATTTTCCAATTATTGAGCATCAAATAATCAGAAAATCAAAGAGCATTCGGGAACTTAGACTTGAAGGAAGGTACTACTCACCTAGTAATTGCACCAACGCCAAAAGAAAAGGCATCAGTAAGTGAGGTTATTAGAATTGATATAGCGGCATCACTCATAGATTCGCCAATCCGTTTTGGAACCGGAAAGGCACGATTAGTGTGTCGAACAGCTGCTACCATCAAGAACATATTGTCAGTGCCTACAGCCACTAGAAGAAATGGCATCACACCAACAATGTCACTATATGGCACGCCTGAAACTACCACATTTAGTACTAAAATGACCTACTTCAATAAGATAATATTCTTAATGGTTCCATTCCACCATTTCTTAATGGTTATTTCGATAACAACTATGAAGTGAGTCAGGACTGGAATTTGGGCTAATTTCCAGAGGATAAAAGCCAAGAAGAAATTACACAGTATACCGAGACCCATAACTAACGAAAGAATTTCATTGCAATATTTGTAATTCTTTAAAATTTCTTAAATGAATATAAATAATTTAATCTCAAAAAGAAGTTACCACAAAAATTAGTGATTCCAATACCAGTAACAATACCCATTCCAGCATTGATAACACCAAACAGTGATAATACTGGCTTAGAAAGGACCCAGTCTATGTAGAATGTTCCATCCACAAATATTAAGGAACATAAAAGAGAAAAGAAAACGAGAATAGAAAATGCTATCACAAAACGTGGAATCAATGAATTCGCGTTACGTTTCAGCTCTTCTGTTAACGTTTGTGAATGCAAATAAGTGAAAGTGATGGAAGGGTCAAACGGATAACTGTCCAGTGCTTCTTGTAACTTCTGCAAATAAAAAATGTCAACATGTAATATGATTCATGAGCATCTTCACATCTAAGTAAGTAACATCATGCCACTTTATGCATGTCATTTCCAGTCAAAAACATCTGCCAAAGTAAAAAAATTAAAGTCATTTTTTATTCAGTAACGTTTTATTTAGTGCTAAAGCTGTTTAATTATTTAATTTATTTAAGCGTTTTATTTAATGCTAAAGTTGAAGCGTCATCAGGTGAGTTTCTCATCTCCGTGGAATTTGTAGTTGGATTGATAAATGAAAAAATTCATCTCAGAAGTCCGGGACAGAATACCATCACTGCAGAATATCTTTTGGGTAATCCTAAACAAGATATCCTGCAGCTGTGCATATTTTAAATTCAAAACTAAAGGAAGAAATTTGAAGTTTATTCGAAAATCGGAAATTGAATATTCGAAAATTGAAAAAGTCACCTTTTCCCATAATCCAGAGATATAACTAACATTTCGTGGAAAAAACTTGAGGTGATATATCATAAACCAAGCAAGACCACCAGCTAATGAAGCAGTACCATTGGCTTCATGGAAAAGTGACACTCCACCAAGTGCACCGCCAATGTAACCACTCCTATAAAATTCTTTCCGAATGCAGAAAACTTCTGGCGCTCATTACTTAGCAATTAATATTTTGTACTATTATCTGCACCATCTCAAAAAAAAGCCTTCCAATAACTATCAATAAATGATTACAAGTTGGTGCTTTGATATTTACGGGATTGGTAAGATGATAAAATCTTTAAACAGTACTGAAATATTTGCATATAGAATGAAAATGACTTCCTAAATATCTAAAAAGTTTTTAATTAACCCTAATTGTTAGGATTACCGACCATAGTAACGAGTTTTGAAGCTCACATTGTCAGTCGCTAGGTAACCAGTTTAATTCATAATTATTAACCGCATGGGCTATGAGTACTGAATATTCATGTCCAACTATCTCAGCCACCTATTTGGAATCCACTTTAAGATTTTGAAAGAAGGCTTATCCTGCTATCATTCTATGTAAAAAAGGATGTGGTACACATTTGTTAAGTAAACCAATCGGCAACAAAAGCACGGATAGTATTATTGATAACCATGAAGATCGACAGACATTAATAACATTTTTTTCTGTACTAATTGATTATGCTAAAATTGTTAATTAAGAAGTCGAAAAGAAATACTTTGGAATGAAAATTATTATCATTGATGGTGATGTTTTCCTCTATCAAGTTTGAATAAAATTCATTAGAGAACGCTGTGTTGTAGTATTAAAGCAGTCTTCAAACAACCCAGTTCTGGTAGTATAGGATGAGACACAGTTAACCTATTTTCCCTTTTTTATCACTCTCAACCTTACTTCTTCCGAAATAACAAATATGTTCACAGAAATCTCAAAGTTCTTTTACTTTTTTAAAGAATGATCGATGATCGTAAAGAACAAATCATATTTTCTAGACTTGAAGCAAAAATAGATAATGCAGTGGCTGAAAGAGTGTTGTATCACTACTATATCTTTCTATATTACCTTGGCAAGCGATAATTTGCCGTTCATGTTTGAATTTGATAGAATTAAGTTCAATTAAGATTAATCGTGCATTTTCAGAATAATCGTCACTATCATCTTTATTCGAGCTCTTAAGGACAGGAAGAAGCGTTTCAGAAGTTAAGAATGACTGATTTTGAAAGCGGAATAGATGAAGCGTTGTGGTTGAAAATCGGAAAGATGTGATTAATTTGACTTCGAAAAAATGTACCGAAATCTTCTTTTACATAAGGTCATTCTATGTTGTTTCAACTTCCTATTAAAATCATTCTAACACATCTGATATTTCTGCAAGAAGTGCCAAAAAACATAATGAACTTTTCCCTTTACAGAATAATTAAAATTGAAAAAGGATTTATTGACATAAGAAGTCATTCTGGTTCTTGACATTCAAGGTTTTATTGATAAAGAAAATCGGTAGAGCGAAATTCTTATAATTTTGAAATTACACTGCAAAGTAATTTCAAATAGTTTCGTTTTCACCTGCCTCTGTTTCTTCATTTCCACATTTTTTAGTAGAATGATTTAAAAAAAGCAACGAATACTTAGAATATTTTTGTTACCTAAATTTCAATCATTTACATGAGTTAGCAATTTTCATTACTTAATACTTACTGTTTGACAAAACTTTAAAATCATTCCAAGAGAGGATTCTAAGACTTGCTTCAGTTATGTTTAAATTTTAAGGTAGTGGCAACTTGAAGCTTTATGACATTTACAAAATAACACATACGCAGAACCGAATCGTACAATTGGATATGTAACGTTGATGCCATGTTGATAAAGATCACTGACAATATGGATATGTTTATTTCCTGGACATCCCTCATTACGCCATTCCAAACATAAATCATGGTACCTGTCGTTGAATGAATTAAAATTAACCGTTTGTTAGTAAAGTTGAAAGTAACTGAGAAACTTTAAACCCTTAAATAAAAAAAAAACTTAAATAAAAATCTCAAACTAAATAATTAATTTTGGACTTCACGTTGAACTGTGATTGGAAGCTACGAATTTTTAATTAGTTTCTCACTGTGGATATTATCATAATATAAATGGTTTCAGGAGTGATAAATCTGAATGAACCCTAATTAAGAAACCAAATCATGATTGGTATTACACACTCCAAACTAATCATTCATTACCTGTACGTTTTACCCATATAATATAATCTGACACGGTTCTGAATAAAAAAATCCAGACGTCGCACTGCTTCAGAATATGGTCGTTCCAGGATGTTACCGCCATCTCGGCTTGCCACTATTACCTGCCAATTTGTCAGTACATTACAGAAAAGTCTTCTGTTTAATCGATGAATAAATTTTCAATCACTCACACTGACATCAGCTATAATGCACCGACTTCCCCGAGAAGTTCAAATTTATTATCTGTTTCAAGAATAAATGAACAAATCCTTACAATTATTTCACTTTCAAAAGTAAAAACTTGTTTGCTTCACGAAATTTAATAAATGCAAATATAATGATACTTGTATTTCTCGGGATTGTGTCACTGCTCTACCAGGAATATAATTATTATAATGCAAAGGCCATAGATTATGAATAATTTGTCGTTCGTACTTGCTCGGTGCATTTCGCGGAGTAAAAAGATAAGTAGGATCGGTAACGGGATGAATGTGAAGAAGACTAATGGAACAGAAAGCGGTAATTAGAATTGGGATAGCGATGAATGGAAGTGGATGTTGTGCAACATATCGACCATACCGATAGAACAATCGGGATAGCGGTCCTTCGATACAATCGAATGTCCGCATACATGCAATCTGTTCGTAAATAAATGCAAGGTTCAAGAAGTGAACGACATCTTCAATAAAGGTCACAACGTTTGAAGTTAACCTTTGGAAACAAACTTGAAAGATTGGAATGAAAAGTAAATTCACAATAATTGTACCCTACAGTTACTAGAATACTTGAAAATATTTACAGTATGGTTAGGTATATTGTCTAGCATTTCAACATGACTAATTAGATGCTAAATTTAATTTAACAAAGTAAGATTTGAAAAACATCAAATAATGAATTCATTATTGATGATGACAGTGTGGCAACGAATACTTACTAATCTCAAATAATTACAGTTACAACAACTAAGCAATCTATAATGATCACATTTACAAGTAACTTCGGATGTTTGTAATTTAAAAAAAAAAAAGTGAAATGAAAAGCACTGGGAAATTTCAGGGCCTGAACTGTGTGTACCGAGTATTTAAGGATTTCTTAAATGGAACAAGCTGTTCTGACAAAGTAACTCGAAGTGATATTAAACCAACGTTTCACATCAAATTATTTATTCATTAATTACGCCATTGGTTTCACATTAAAAAACGAAGGAATCCCAACAAAGTAGGATTTTGTTGCGAAAATGATAAACGTTTCAAAAAACCGCTGAAAAATCAATTATCCCTCATCAAAGTTTCTTTCTCCTTTCCTGTTTCATCAGACACTTTCATGCATTGCATTTTTCCACTAAGAAAAAATTTCCTTTCGATTTCAGAATGAGTCCATCAATACTTCTGATAGTCGATAAGGAGAACGGATCCATCTACAAGGCGCAAAAATTTTTGTTCAAATTTTCAGTACAGCATTTGTCCAACTTGAAACATATCATTTGTTAGATGAGTAAGCATAGATTGACTGATAACTCCTGACTAGTTGTAGCAAATAGACAGTTCTTTCCGCCAGGAAAAACACACCTGTTGTGCTGTTACGCGCTACTACTATATGTTTCAAATCGCATTTCAAAATGATTCAATTCGTGAAATTAATAAAAAACCAAGTGGTAGAGATAGAAAAGTAAAAGATTTCAAAAGAGGAAAATTGGTAGGGTGGACGCAAAATAGGGTCGATGACCACATCCAACATCAGTGAAGTCGACACTACAACTGGCAGTAGAATGGGTCTTTGACTGACCTACAAATACGCGGACTTGTAACACTACATCTCTCGCGCATATGCACAATGAACGGGAACTACTTCAACGCACATTGCTCACCCATCAAGTATTTAGTCGGTAAATAAGAAAGAGAGGGGATTTCAAACATTCATGTTTGCCATGGAGAGTGTTGCTATACAAACAAAGAACAGAATTTATTTACATAATCGTACTTCAAAAACAGCAAAGTGCGTTATATATAACAACCAAAAAACTTTATGCGAATAGCAATTACTTCCTGAACGACTACAGACCACTTGTGTCGCCTTTATATAACCATTCTTTTTTTTTCAATTTAATGCTATGAAGTTATAAAATTGCTTAGAAGCTGAACATATACAATAATGGACAAAAAAAACAATATGGCAAATTCTGATGCGAATTCAGTGATTGGTTTACACTGGAATGCAATATTATGGGCTTTATTGAATAATATTTTTCCTAGTTCTGCGTGAAATCTAAACCACACCTATCGCAAAACAAGAATCATCGAAATCTGTGCAACTTAATTCATTTACCTGGCAAATAATCTACTTTTCCGTTGAAAATCAGGGATAATGATATAAAATTGCATAAGCTGCTATTTCTGATAATTCTTCTATCAACTTCGGTTGATATTTTGGTAGTTTTTTCGGCATTTCCCCTTGAATCCCTGCAAGTTCTTTCAGACGTGCGTTGATTTTTGTTTCTTCAACGTCCAATTCTTCTAGACGCTTTTTTATCTGCAAGTTTTGCATGGATATTCAAAGACTTCGAAAAAAAATAATGTAAGAGAATTATCCGAAATTTTTTGAATATTAAGCTGCTTCAACAAATTCCTTTCTTTTCTAAAAAAAATTATGAACTTCCTTCCTACGAATTTATACAGCTATTTTACGAATTTATACAGCAATTTATATTACTTCAGGTCCAAACTGTATGCGTTCAGCAATAAATTTCATGTTTAGCTGCTCCATTTTATTATCTTTTTCCCTCGCAATTCTTTCCTTCAACAGAGCTTCCACCCACGCTTTTCGTCTTTTTTCAATCTGCTCCTCCGGACGTTTCGGTACATGATAAGCGATTTTTAATTCCGATAACACCTTCAATTGGTTCATCACAATATTACAAGCAAATAACCGTTCGCAGAGAGTAGAAGCAATAATATTAGAGGAAAAAAAAGTCATTCCATTATTTTAAAAAAAAAAACTTTTTCAAAAGCTGCTGTATCCACTTCGCGTAACTGCCGCAACAGTTTTCGACGAAATGCTATCATCAAGTGAAGAGGATGTACGATATGAGCTGGTTTCTGCAAAAAACTTCATTTACAATTATCACTTGAGAGAAGTCATAAATTTTCTAAACGATTAAAATTACAAAAAGATGGAGGAATTGAAAGAGATTCAAGCATTTTCACAAGATGGGGATTGCAACGACAAGATTTTCTAGAGATGGACAGTTATAACGCATGAACCCAATCAACATCACATTATTTTTACTTGCAAAACTTCTGAGTTATCCTATGTAAACAAACAAACGCTTAACTACTTCCACAGGAATTTTTGGTTAAAACAAATTGAAGAAATAAAAACAGCATGTGCTATACCTTTGGTTTATTATCTATTTCTTTTACTAGCAAAGTCCACGAACGTATTATACCAGTTGTCCAAGCAACTGAAATAATTTTTCATTTAAATTGATAAAAATCAGAACTGCATAAAGTTCAGTAGCATAATTTATCTTCATCCATCCTTTTATTCCAAAATTTGCATGCAAACAAATAACACGCCGTCTTTGCATCAAATCTTTAGAAAAATATTTTAAAAATTCTACCGCTTTCAAAATATCTATCAAACTCACTGTAAAGTTTCCTACAAGTTTGGTCCTGCTACTTACTTTTCACTTCTAATGAGTTCATATCGAGTTCATGCTTTTGTACTTTCTCAATCAAAGCCTTTTTCCATGCATCTGAGTAATCTCGCCTTTCGCCAAATTTAATGCTGGAAGTGAGAATTTCCAAATATAAAGAACTTGAAATTTAATAAAAAAATTTTTAGAAAATCCTCTTCATTCTGTTTTTGTTACTTCACACAACTTTGTATTACCTTTTAAACAAACGATTACACCAAATTAAGGTTAATGATTGCTTTATCGAACCGAAGTTCCTTAAACTAAAGTTTAAAACATAATTGTTTCAACATAAAAAGCCAATAACGTATATTGTAACTAGGCCAAATTAATTATATGTGATGTAAAATTCTGATATTTCTCGATGATATAGGCGTATATGCCAACTACAATTGATTGCCAAGCATCCTTTATGGCGTTGTAAAATGCAAGACAAAACCAGTCCACTTATCTCACAATTAGAACAAACAGTATGCTCGAATAACGAACCAGCATGTTTTGCAATATAATCGCCATATGCGTTATTTAGTTGTTGATCGAAGCGACAAAATATCAATTTAGTCCTTCTTACCTGAAAATCTTCTTCACCGATTCTGGTATTCCTTCCCAGTCCAATGTTGCATAATTAGCTTTCGGTGAATTCTCGTCAATTTCTGGCACCCAGTTTTTTTGGCTTCTTCCCAATCATTCGATCATCACCTTTCAACATTACTTCTCGTTCGCTTCCTATCTTTTCTTTCCATAAAACGGTTAGCGTATCCACATACCGTTCATCTCAAAATAATATCTACAATTCATTAATCTCCCAGAACTTCTCTAAAAACGCTGACTATCCCTTCTTTGTAGCACATTTATATCAATATCCCGATCGTTCATGCATTCCTTTTTACAAATAAATTAGCTGTAACTTGCCTATATTGCTTAATGCAGGATTCCACGAAAAGATAAACAAGCTAACCGAGTGGTACTTCATTTGCTACTTTTTCGAAATGATCTGCATTTTGACGAGCTGGATCAGTCACTTTCATATGTTTATTGAAGAATGGAAATCGTGGCCTACTACTCTGCTGCTTTACTGTTGTAAGATATACACTTCGATGCTCTCCAACCATTACCCTACCACAAGCATTCCTGCACAGCATTGCATTCCTACACAGCGGAGTCATAACTCCTGAAGAGGATGCATTAATATTTAGCGAAATTTCAAGAAGCTCTCAACATTTACTATTTAAAAATTGAAGTACTTAGTAGAATTTAAGAGCTTCAATTAATGCAGTAAAAGATGAAACGAAAATACTGTTTAATGTTTATTGCATAGGAGATAATTTAAAGGAATCCTTTATCCTCTTACCATTAATTCCGTTAAATGAGTCGAAATAATGGCGAACTAATTGAACTAACAACATTGCACTCATTGATAATTGATGAGCTGAGTAACTGATAGAGTAATGAACCAATTCATCCCAACAAAGCTACCTATTTTTCATTCTTTCCCACCCCAGCCCTCGTTGACGTAGCACAAAACAACAAACTCTCCAAATATAACATTAGTAATACAATCCCCAAGCCAACTTATCAACAAGCCAAATCCTATCAGAGTCACAAAATTTCAAAAAAACGTGACGAAACCGGCTGCTAAATCCCACGTTTTATTCTTAGAATAAGGCAAATGATTATTTAACTGCGCATCACTATTTATATAAATGGGAAACAAAATGGATGAAAAGCAGATGAACAAATTGGTTTTGAAAATTGAAAACAAAGAAAGGAATTCAAGATAATTCCATAGCATAAAACTCAACAGGCAATAAACAACTTTTTTTCTTGAACATCGATAGAAACAGTCTCGATAAAATCGAAACTTGCTTAACATATAATTTAAACAACATGACAGGAAGGAATTTATTGGAAATGTAAATAAAAACGGGTAATGTTCGAAAAGTACGCTATAATGATCATCGATTTCAAATCCGCTCAGACATTTCTTCAATTGAGCAAGAGAGAAATTGTAGCAGTGTAAAAGAAAATTTATATCTCAGAAAAGGCACGACAGGTTGATTAACAGTAAACACCCATAATTTTTGAAGCAAAAAATCCATGTGTAAAAGGTATGAAGATCTCCCCAGATATCAATAATGGCGTTAGCAGGCAAAAGCAGACCAAGCAGTGTAAGAGAAAATTTATATAGGCTACTACAAATGGGAATGACTTTTAGCGAAAATACACAGTACGTTTGTGAATGACGCGCAAACACAAATTCACTAGATGATAAGACACACAAAATGAACGATTCAGTTTCCGCATATGCAATGCACTTCATGCTATACCAATTTAGTAACTTCCTGAAGAACTTAAATTTAACTTTTTTTCCCTGAAATTTAATTTTGACTTTCTTGAATTAGTTCTTTCATATCTGTCTTTTTTTTCCTAGAGAAACCAAGTTTTCCCCACTCATCTTGCCTTTTTAAGTTTGTTTCCTGAAGAAAGAGAAACCAAAGCCCACAACTTAAGGTTGGTTGAAAGTACTAATATTTCCCAATGATAACTGCTGTCGTTGTTATTATGTTTTAGTAATTGAAAAAGGAGTAAACCATCGCACTAGCTATTGAAAAAATTCAAAATCGCGTTGGCATGGCACAAAATACAACCAGCACAGAAAATAACATAATGAGAAAGTAAAAGAAAACAAGCGATGGTTTTCACATATTTTCATATTGATCTATACGACGTTTTGTGTTGCCACCACGAATTTGTCGCAATGTTTTATATTTATCTCGGCCGACTCGCTTATTTTCCATATGTAATAGATCGTATTCCGTTAACTGTTGCTTGTCCTTTACCGTTTCCAAATCTGCTGTTAGAGCCTATAACAAAAAAAAGTCTAAATAAACTGCAAATTAAATACAGTACCAAATACATTCATAATTTCAAAGGCCTTATAATGGAAATATGTAAGGAACGAACTGATATCACTCCATTCAACATGGAAAATTTCAAATGTAATAAAAATTTTGTGAGCCAGGCTTTTCAACATTAATAAAACTTATAACCAAGTTAACTGTTTAAAAATTCGACTCAGCAGAACTAAATTTTTTGACAGAAATGATATTTTTGCACTCAACATGATTATTCATCTAAGTATAAAGAGTAAAACAAAATTACATCAAGTTTATGTTTCAACGAAAGATTCTGTTCGGCGGCGGTCATTCGCTCAAGTTCTCTTTGTGGAACGTTCTCATCACCACGAGCAGTCAACTCTACAAGTGAACAATACAATATATATCTGAATTTTCCCTGATATAAAATAACATCAAAATTAAACATTGCGAGCAATGATAATGCAAGACATCACTATGTTTGGAGAGTAGTAATTATAGTAATATTTCAACGCACCTGTGGCAATCTGCCCATTTTCACTAGCATTTTCATCCAAATCTACTTCCTTAACGTTAAATGTATTTAGCTGACGAGTACTTTCGCGTTCCTGAACAGCACGTGCTTCCTCGACTTCTCTTTGCAAACGTTCTGTCTCCTGAGTCTTCATATCAACTTGTTCACGCATTTCAGCTACTTGCTGCTCACGTTTGCGCACTTCCTGCTCCAGGCGTTCACGTTCTTCAGAGCTCATTTCACGTTCTGAACGCAGCTGCTCGTTCAACCTCCGCAGTTCATCTTCCTTCGCTTCTAGCTGTTCTTTAGCGATCTACAAACTGCACCTGTTATATTCGTTTTTCTTATTCCTTAAATAATCCTTCTTTATTTCTTCTCTCTTTCCAAATAAACCTTTAATCAACATAATCTCAACTTTTTTTGAATAACCAACAAGAGACAAGTTTCCACGCAACAACACTCTAAAACTAAACCCAAACCTGAAGTTCCGCAAGTTGTTGCTCAAGGCGTCGAATAGTATCCTGTGCATGTAACAGTTCTCGCTGAGCTCTTTCCATTTCTTGTCTCATTTTTTCCATCCTTTCTTCATATTCCTTCTGTTTTTGCTCAGCAGCTTCGCGTGCCGTCATTTCCTACAGTTTTTCAGATTAATCTCCTACACAACAAAGAGTAAATTACATCCACATAAATACTGAGCTAATCGTCCTTGGAAACATATTTATCGACATTAGAGCTACACAATTTCAACTTTCACACCTAAAAAGTGTTGCGCTTTGTTACAAAGTGAATGCTATAAAAATGTTAAGATTGAAACATGAATGATATTCTCAGTTGTAACTAAGCACACCCAGTATATCATCGCAATGTTAGTAATACATTGTAAATAAATGAAGTAAATAAATAAATGAAGTAAATAAATAAATGAAGTAAACATAAAGTAAATAAACGAATTCGCAAAAGCCAAATTCGTTGAGAAAAAGGTGAAAAGAATAGCGCTAATTCATCTTCGTATTAGTTTCTACAGCTCTGTCTTATACAATAACTAACTTTTGTAAGGCGTTCCTGTTCAAGCTGCCTTTGCATCCGCTCTTCCTTAGCTTGCTGTTTCATTTGTTGCACCTCAATCGTATCCGGCTTCCTTCTACGCATGTATAGCTCATGATTGCCCATACACAGCGCCAATATCCGTTTGTTTATTCGCAGCCGTGGAGCGTAAAATACAAAATCCTAGAAAATATCAGTATTGCTAACAACCTTATACAATTCATTATCAAAATTTCGATATGAAGCATCTCAATGTTTATGTGAAGTACCACAAATATCCGACTGTGATATAATTAATGATCTATTACATCAGAAAAAAAAGGAATATCATGAACAACTGAAATTTCACCATACCTAACTATAAAACACCTTTTTCATATTCTACTGATATAATGTAATATGAGAAAGTCACGGAAGTGAAAAGTTACTGAGAACGGAGAGTAAAAATAGTGAGTAAAATAAATGGTAGAAATAAACAACTTACATTTGCCTTTTTATCAATTGGTTTAATAACAAATTTTTTGTCATTGAATGAAATATTTCGTATTTCAGACCACGGAAATCCAACTTTGGGCGTAAGGCGATCATTCTTTTCGTATATGTTAAGTCCGAGGGCATCAACACCCAAAAACAGTTCTGTCCCTTTCTTATTACGAATTTCGAAATACTGGAAATATTGGAAATTAAAGATTTAAAAATACTTTTCCACAGATGAAAAGAAATATGTGCATATATAAATGCTCAATTTTAATGTGCGAAAAACAGTAAATATAAATCATAAAGCTATATAATTTTCTATATAAGCGATTCTAAAACTTTAAAAGTACACTGCGGAATTTTTGCAATATCAACGAAAAAACAGTTGAAGTGCAGGTAAAAGCGAATTCGAAGAACCAGTATGATTCACTGATCGCTTTTTTCACCTAATTTATACAGGCCTCACTTTTCCATCCATCTACTCGCCAAATGTTAAACTAGCTTCGGATAAACAAAAACTTTTTAATGTAATAAAATATATTCCACAGCACACTGCAATGTTAAGTGAGGCGCACCAGTTTAAATTACACTACTGAATTTTAAATTACACTACTAAATCATTGTACGATAAATTACTATGATTCTGTACAGAAAAGTATAAAGGAAGGATCACAGATGAGACAATAACTGTAATCCCATTAAAAGCATGATTTCCCTTCATTTTGGAGAAAATTATTCGAGAACTAAACCTTTCGAAAAACACTTTAATTAAGAAATAGAATAAATTAAAAAATACAGAGAAGTTCAAGTATAACCAACATTGACGCCATACATCTCGAGATCTTGTGCTATTTTTAGATATTCCATCATTGCTTGCTCTCTATTCGTATTCTTATGATCTGCCCACCAAACCATTATACGTTTTTCCCACTCTTCAGGACTGAAAATTCAATGAATTCAATTTAAATCTTATTTTTCAAACAAATTTCTTCCTCCCCTTTGCATTATCCAAATTTTAAAACTAATATAATTTTGCCACAGTGTGAACACGAAATTCCGGTCACAGATAACTAAAGTAAGACTTCCGAACCAGATAATTCCGGAACAAACCACAGTAAAGTCCTATTACAAATATGTAAGCATGATCAAATAAGCTCATTTGCCAATATTTCAATTGGAGTTTGAAGAAAGTTTGAGATACAAAAAGGAGTGAAGATTTTTTCGTATTAAAAGTACAAAGCAAAAGGATGGATAT